GTTTTTTTTTTTTTTTTTTTTAGTACCAAACGACTCTGGCGCGACCCGGAAACGCAGTTACAAATGAGAATAATTTAAATTCTCTGATAATTACATTATTTACAGTAGCAGGGGAGGGGGTCACCTAGTGCCCCATTTCCAGACTGGACAGACATCAGTCCCACTGCTAGGCTGAGCAGATGCCTGCTCCCCTCACCATTGGCAAGGGCCTCAGGCCTCTAGGCAGTTGTGGAGTCTTCTGGCATGAGCAGGCGACAGAAGCAGGATGGCCTGTATGATGCAGTGTCCTAATGGTAGCCCACCACTCTGCCTGATCACGCCACGAGGCTTCTGGTGCTCTCTCTGACCTGCAGGGCCTCCCCTCTCCTTGCACTGAGTTGCCATGGGTCCTCGGAGTGTTCTGTACAGTCCAGCTGCACTCAGGGCAGGAGAGACCTCCCCTACCCAGTTTCCCCTGAGACTGGCCCCAAGACCAGGAATGAGTCAGTGCAGAGGCTGGCGCCACTCCAGGACAGTGAGCACAGGAAGGAAAGGGCCTGCGGTTCTGAAGGCTGGGCTCTGCTGGGCAGGATCAGTCACTGTCACTGGTCTCACTGCTCTGCTCACCCTGCACCTTGCTGCGGTGCTGCAGCGCCCTATGGTAGGCAATCTGTACTGATTTGCGGATGTTGGATTTCCGGCCCTCCAGCATCTTCTCTTTGTCAAGGTCCTGGTTCACACCCAAAGGGACCAGTTTAGTCCTGGGCAGCCACTGCCTAGAGGATAAAGTGAAGATCAAATATATATCATCTCAGGAGAATAAGTACCAGTCTTCCCCCACTCCATTCATTCAGAAATACCTCCTGAGCTGGTGTGGTGGCACATACCTATAATCCCAGTACTCAAGAGGGTGAGGCAGGAAGATCACTGAGAGGTTAAGGACACCATGGGCTACACAGTGATTTTAAGGCCAGCCTGAACTGTATAGTAAGACCCTACTCTCTCTTTTTTAATTTTTTTTTAAGGAAATGCTGACTTTGAAATATTTATTCACTTTGGTTTAAGTACAAATTAATGCACTTCAACTTTTTTTTTTTTTGGTACTGGGGATTGAACTCGGGTCCTTGCGCTTGGCAAGGCAGGCCACCGAACCGCTGAGCTAAATCCCCAGCTCTCTTTTTTAATTTTTAATTTTTTGGTTTTTGAGACAGGGTCTCACTATGTAGTTCAGGGTGGCCTTGAACTTGTGATGATCTTCCTGGCTCAGCTTCCTGAGTGCTGGGATTACAGGGATGCACCACCATCTCTGGCAAGACCCTCTTCTCAAAAACCAAGCCAAAACAAGCCAAACCAAACAAACAAATAACAAAACCACACACAAGTGAAAAAAAACCTGAGCACCCATGCTGGCCAAACTGCTGGGCACTGGGGTAACAGAGACGCCATGTCCTCAAGAGATCGCTCAGACAATAGTGATGCTAGAGGGGTAACTACAGAGTATTTTTAAGTGCAAAAAGAACCCCTGACCTAAACCTGTACCATGGGCACTAAGCAGACTTTACAGACAATGAATAGCATCTTCAGGAAACTAACAGAAAAATTATATGTATAAATATGACAGAATAGGAATTTAGAGGCAAAATGTTTATGCTAGCTTTATTTATTTATTTTTAGTCTTTTTTTTTGGTACTGGGGATCAAACTTAGGATCTTGTGGTTGAGAGGCAGGTACAGCACCACTGAGCTAAATCCCAGGCTATTTTTGTTTTTTTTGAGACAAGATCTCACTTTGTAGTTCAGGCTGATCTTGAACTTACTATGTAGTGCCGGCTGGCCTCAAACTCACAATAATCCTCCAGTCTCAGCCTCCTGGGTGCTGAGATTACAGGTGTGCACCACCATACCCAGCTATTATGCTAGCTTTATCTGCATCCTGTCACCCCAGAGGAAGTGGTGAAAAAAAAAAAAAAAGTCTAGAAGTTGAGCCTAGGTAGGGAGCCATCCCCATATTAATTACAGTCACTAATGGTCTTTTGGTTTCCAGCTACCACTGTTTGTCAGCTCACTCAGTATGTCAGACTTAGGGTCACAATAAATGTGAAATCTTTGCTTGAATTCCTCTCCTGCTCATCTGTGATAGCCTCATCTGTCTACTGGCCTTCCCTGGCAGTCTGCCCCCATACCACACAGGGTTATATCTGTGGCTGTGAGTCAACACCAAGTGTTCCCCTCTTTCCTTACCAGGTTCGTTTGTTGTCAAAGAAAAGAACGAGGTAGAGATGCTCTCGGGCTTCCTGGGTCATCTGTTCCCCGAGTTTCAAAACCTCCAGTGGGGGCACAGGGATGGGAACGCCATGGTGAAACATACCTTCTCGGGGCATCTTTGGATCAATGATCTGAGGGTACAAATGAACCAAATCTGGTCCCGTTCATCTCTTCTCCCGTGTGTACCACCCAAGAGTGTGGGGACATCAAGAGGGGACAAGCCAGCATGCTGCTAGGGTTCCACTGCTGGCCCCTGACTTCTTCCTGTGCTGTATTATTCCTGAGCCGAAGGGGTAGGGCAGGACAGACACTGGCAATGGCCTGTGAGGGGCACACTAAGGCTGTACCTGCCCAGAGTGTCTCCTGAGGAAACCTATGCACCATAACTCAGCAGGGAGCAGGGAGTCTGCTGTGAGTCTGGGTCTGGGGTAAGGAAGCAAAAGCAGGGCAGCAGAGGCAGAAGCCTACCAGAGCTGGGTACGATGGGTACCCTCGGCATTTGGCCCACACGAGGTCCAGAGCGTCCAAGGGAGAGTCTTCATCCTCTGACAGCCAGGCAGCTCCTCGGCCCAGACTCTTCCTCACCACTTCATGGGAAAGGAAGAGAGGGGGTGGATCAGCCACTGGGGGGCTAGCAAGGCCCCGACACAGGGTCCCCAGCATCCCTGGCTTTGGGTGAGGGTACTTACTGCTGTGGCCCACGCCGCGGCCAGTGCCCACGGAGTAGGCCTCATTCTCGGTGCCTGAGGTATCTTCACTGCTGTCCTCTGGGAAGGTGCTCCGAGAGAAGGAGGGCTTGCCCCGGCCTTGTTTTGAGGGTGTTGTGCTGGGGGCAAAAAGGGAGATCTTGGCTCAAAGGGAGGGAAGAAGAGGGAAATGGCACAGTTGGTATTCCCCCTGCTTTAGGCCTGAGGTCTAGCTTTTACAAAGCACAGTGGGTAAGAATTTCAAACTCATGCTCTCAGGGGCTGGGCTGGAGATCTGACTGAGGTGGGTGAGACTGAGAGGTGAGGGTAGTATGTGCCCTTTGTAAAGACCAGACTGCCACAGCCTCTGATGTTAAAGAGAATATAAATTGGCAATTTTATGTGGCCACG